TTTGGAACCACTGCATGGGTTCTGGGAACCAAACCCAGGTGCTCTGCAAGAACAACTTATGCCTTTTAACAGCTGAACCATCTCTCAAGCTCCAGATGCTATCCATATTTAAAATGATAAGATTTTAGCAGTAATTAGAACTTTAGAGATGTCATTCAATTCTGTTTTCCTGTAGAGGAAACATAAGGCCTACAGAGGTAGATTTATCCTGAGCAACATATCAAGTACCTGACAGAGCTATGACTAGAACCCATGACCATCAGCTGTCCAGGCCATGTCCCCAAATGTCTCCACCCACTCCTGAGTCTGAGATGCCTCCTACATAGTTATACCCAGGAGCCTAAGTACTTTGAAAAAGACTGTTAGGCCACAAATCAGAAGTATTGGTGGCAGATTGGTTTTTTTTTTTTTTTTTTTTTTTGGTTTTTCGAGACAGGGTTTCTCTGTGTAGCTTTGCGCCTTTCCTGGAACTCACTTGGTAATCCAGGCTGGCCTTGAACTCACAGAGATCCGCCTGCCTCTGCCTCCCGAGTGCTGGGATTAAAGGCGTGCGCCACCACCGCCCGGCCAGATTGGTATTTGTAGGTACTATAGAGAACTCCTATGTGCCAACCGCCAGGGCAGGAACCAGGGACATAAGGAAGACAGGTCGTTTCTGGAGGATGCTGGTGACTGAGGAAGTTAGACAAGACAGCCAACTGTGACTGTTTTGATACAGATTAGCACAGGGGACCTGGAGGCAACAGACCATTTTAGGGAAACCTTCAAGGATGAAACCTGATTTGGTTAAGAAGAAAAGTGAGTAATGCTGTGATCACTGCTGTGAAAACAACAGCAGAACTTGGCAGTTGTCAGGAGTGTTCTGAGCCAAAAGTGAAAGTCAACCTGCCTCCCTCCCCTCCCTCCCCTCCCCTCCCCTCCCTAGCAGAAGTGATAATGCCACCTCTTGGTCATTGGCCTGCTGGCCCCTCCTACATACATCCCTGGTTGCTAGAGGAGACTTCGTTTTTTCCTTGGCTCTTAGGCTCTGCTACTGACTGCCTTTACTTGGGAATTTTAGGCAGTTTGTTTGTTTGTTTGTTTTTAGAGATAAGGTTTCTTTGTGTAGCTTTGGCTGTCCTGGGACTCACTCTGTAGACCAGGCTGGGGCTCGAACTTAGAGATCCGCCTTCCTCTGCCTCCCAAGTGTTGTGTTTAAAGGCGTGCACCACCACTGCCCTGTGGCAGTTCGTTTTCCATCCACAGATATGTTCGGGTACTTGCTGTATTTTCCTATGCCATCCTGATTTACTCAGGACATCAGGTGTGACAGCAGGGACCCTTACCCACTGAGCCGTTTCTCTCTGCCCCCTCCCCCATCACTAATGTAAAATGGGCAATGATGCTAATGGCATAGGCACATTGCTTTATTATATGCCAAGTGTTTTAGCCATCATGACTTATCTTTTGATGGCACTCCGATGTGTGACGTGCAGTAAAGCTGGTGGGAGACTTTTTTTCCCCTCGAGACAAGGTCCTGTAATATAGCCCCGGCTAACCTTGAATTCATGGCAGTCCTCCTGCCCCAGCCTTCTGATTATAGGCAGGCACCACAATACCCAGGTTTTGTTCATTCTCCAACAGATACAAAGAGCAGGAGCTGTTTTGGGAAGGAACAGAGAAGCCAAGTCACACATTTATCCATGGTCCCTCTCTCTGTAAGTGGCAATGGCTGTATCTGATCTGAGATCTTTTCTACCTGTATACCCTGGGAGTTGTGCAAGAGCTGGGATTCAACTCCAGATGCCTGCTGTGGTCTCCTGTCTACTACCCTGAGCCATCCCCAGTTAGTATCACCTACCACTGCCCCGCCAAGCAAGAGAGTTAGTTAGTTCATTAGGTAGGGCTGGCCCCAAGTCCAGAGTGAGCCTGCTGTGCCCACCCCCTCCCCAGCACGACGTGGGCTGCTCTGTCCTGACTGGCAGCCTGCATTAAGCATTCTACTCATCATCTCAGGGATGATGGAATCCTAACCTTTACGGAGACACCGTGCTCTGTCACAAGCATTGCTCTTTTTAAAAGAGATTAATTCACTTGCCGCATTTTGTCCATTGGTGAAAATCGCAGGGGAGAGCAAGGGTGGCTTTCTCTGGCCGGCCTCAGAGGCCCTTTCAGCCGCTCTCAGCAGGCAGTCACCCCCCACCCCATCCCCAGCTGGCTCAGGACTTTGAAATGAGTGCCTGCTGGGCATTCACTTGTGAAGCAACAAAATGAAATAGGGAGATCTGGTTTGTGAAGTCCTAATTTGGGGGGCTACTCTGTACTGGGAGAAAGCAAGGGGGGACTCAGTGCCCTCCCCACCCCTGACTCAGCACTACAAGAGGAAAAGTTGTCTGTGGTAAGGTTAGCTGTGGCTCTTCCACAGAGACCCACAGTGTGGTATGTCTCTCAATCCTGACAACCACCTTGCGTGAGAGGGGTTAGCATTCTGTCCTTCACAGCAGGTGAATGCAGAGCCTGAATCTGGATACCAGGACCCTCTCTTCCATTATACCCTGGCCCCAAGAGTGCAAAGAAAGATGCTCAGTCAGGAGCTGGGCTTGAGAGCTGATCTCACTGAAGAACACCACGTTCACCTTCTCCTGTGGCTGAGGGGGGTTGCAAAGCCCTTCCCTGCTATACTGTATGTGGAACTGGCAGGAAGTGCAGTCCTCACTGACCTCACTGAAGGTCAATGAGGGGCTATGCCTGCTTAGGATGTTAGGACAGTAGGTAGCAGAACTTAGAACTAGACTAGACAGAGGGCTTCTGACTCTGCACGGTGTTGTTTTGTTATTGTTTGAGACAAGGTTTTACTGTGTATCTCAGGCTGGTTTCGAACTTGAAGCAGTTCTGCTGCCTCAGTCTCCCCATGAGAGGTATGTACTACCATGCTGGACTAGCCTTATATTGTTTTACTAAATGATAGCAAGTCAGAAGGACTCCCCCTCTGCCAAGAGTTTCTTCTCCTAAAAATGAACTAAACACCTTTACAGAATAGACAGCCCCATATTTATATGTAGATCAAAATTGTTCATGATCACAAGTTAAAAAGAGCAGTATATCCTTTGTACCCCTTAGACCTATAATCTCAGTGTGCAGGAGGTTCATGAGTCAAGGCCTAACTGGGCTGCTTAACAGGTTCAAGGCTGGTGTAGGCAACATAGTAAACCTTGTTTCAAAAAGAACAAACAAAAACAAAGAAGCCTATTACTGCCAAGTGTTGCAAGAAGAGGCACACACAGAGTGTCCCTGTCCTGCTGGTATAAAGGTCGATAGAGCGTCATTCTCCTGGAGGATGCTGGCACTGTTTATTCACATCACATACATGCATGCCCTATGACCTAGAGGTCCCAGGAAACATGGAAGAGGATGTTCTTTGCATATTGGTTTTGGTGGCTACCTGGGTGTGGGTATCCCTGGGAGAGGGTAGAGGAGTGTGATGGATTATTCTGGTCCCCTGTCCCTGTTGTCTCCCTTTCACAGCCATGGATGTTAAAGAAGCTAACCCCAGGTATACATTATTTGTGTGGGGGAAAAGTCTCCTTTTGCACAAACCATGTGGTGTCATTGAAACATTTGGCTCTGAAGCTTAGAGTGTAGATTAAGTTCTGGTCCTCACTGTGATTCTGAAGGAAGCTTCAGTCCATATAGGATAGAAGATTGGACAGGATGGAGAATATCCTCCGCCCTTTCCTCATATGGACATCTGCCTAGTGGATGGACCATGTTTGGGTGTGCTTTTAGAGAGGGTCTTGCTACATTCCAGGCTGGCCTGGAACTCATTATGTGGTCCAGCTGGCCTTGAATTCATGGCGAACTTCCTGCCTAGGCCTGAGGATTATAGGCGCGAGCCACCATGCCTGGCTGAATTGAATTCTTGATTTTTGTCTTCCTTTAGTGGCACCATGGTCTTTGATTTCTTGCCCACATCTAGAGTTGAGCATAGGACCATGCCACTGGTTGGCTGAAATCAGTTTGGTCTTCAGACCTTTTGTTATATGAAGAGGGGTACAGTCTGGAGGTAGGCCGATGAGACAAGGTGAGGAGAGTCCATTACCAACCTGCTGTGTGACCTTTCACAAGTCATTTTCCCTCCTGTTTCCTCATCCATTACAAGAGTTTACAGTCTGCGCCTTAAGCTTGTGAAGAGTAAATAAACTCAGGAACAAGAAGTTCCAAGAGGGCAGGCCATGCTCTACCAGGTGCTAAGTAAGACATGGCTTTGTTCACCTGTCTCTGTCTGCCCTCTGTTATAGGGATCAGAACCCAGAATTTAGATTTACAATGATGTGCTTTAGACTTTGGGTTTGTTGGTTTACTTGACAATCGATGGACTCCTATATGCTAGGTACCTGGCATGTAGATCCCAATAGGTCTACATAGACTGTAGTGGGAACCTAACTTAGCATTTCTGAAATTCTTTCCGTCTTTCTTTGGGTTGAAGGATTTGTATTTTACAAACAGCCATGATAAAATAAATACATTTGAGGAATGTGATCCTTTTGTGAACAGGGAACTACCTGGATAAGACTAAGCCTGTTCGGTCTTCTGTGCTAAACATGGAAAGTTAAGGGAGAGGGTGTGGGCACCAGGTTTGTATCGCATGGCCTGGAGACAGGATTTCAACTCAGCAAAGGGGCTGAGAGGTTCTTGGGCCAGGGAAGTAGAAGTTCATAGTATCACTATTAAGATAGAGAAGGCTTGGGGGGGGGGATGACAGTATGGAGCTGGGTAGAGAGGGACAAGGGGATGCCTCTGGTGAGGGGAGTGATCTGAGGCTGGGATTGGGGATTAGAACTCAAAGGACTCATCCAACCTCCATATTTGTGATTCTTTATCTGTTCTCTTGAGATAGTGTTCTATTATGTTGTCCAGGCTGACTTTGCACTAACTATATGTCCTAGGTATTTTTCTGTGATTATTTCCACTCTTGTCCATGATAAGCCACACACTGAAAATATTCCTCTGTCTTTTGTCAGACTATTGTCAGAAGGTGCAGATGTCAACGCAAGGCACAAACTTGGCTGGACAGCTCTGATGGTGGCAGCCATCAGCCGAAATGACAGGTAAGAGTCTCCTTCCATCCAGGGCTGCCTGAGCCGGGTGGGTCTCTTCCGACTGTGTCCATGGCTGCTTGCTGCCCACCGTTGCTGCCCCTGCCGTCTCCTTCAGAGGCAGGAAAGCTAAGGCAGGAAGTCCAAAATGCTGCATAGTGGATGTGGAGAGCCACATGTGGTTTCAGATTACAGCAGTTACCATTCATTGGCTTGTGACCTTAGGCAAGTCACTGGTGTTATCAGAGCAGCCACCTGTTTAAGAGCAGATTCTAAATGGTTACGTGTGTGAGTTTTCACCCTATCGAGAAGTCTTCAGTTACTGCCCCTACTGAGGGCTCTCCGAGTGGATTTTTCTTTGGAGGGTCTGGAGACTTTCATCCCTTCCTCCTGTTGGTGGCTTTTCCCTTCATTCAAGGTAATAGCTATCATGTAAAGATAAAAAGTAGGGACTGGAGAGAGCTCAGTCACTAAAGTGCATGAGGACCTGAGTTTGGATCCCTAGCACCATGTGTAAGCCAAGTGCATCTGTAACCCAGCACTGGGAGGATTGCAGGGACAGAGACAAGTGAACCCCAGGGACTCTTTGGCCAGCCACTCTGAGTCAGTGAGTTCCAGGTTTGATGAGATGAGGACCCTGCCTCAAAAAGTCAGATGGATTAGGCTGGGCATGGTGGCACAGGTCTTTACTCCTACTACAGAGAGGCAGAGGCTGGTAGATCTCTGAATTTGAGGCTAGCCTGGTCTACATAGCTAGTTCCAGGCCAGCCAGGGCTACATAATGAAAACCTGTCTCAGAACTTTAATAAACAAATAAGTCACTGGACCCAACATTTGCCTTTAGCCTACACACACAGGCAAGTGCACAAGCACGGACATATGTACCCACACACTAGACACACCAGAAGGAATATAGGTAACTATCTATAACTTTGGTTTTGGTTTGGTTTTTCAAGCCAGGGTTTCTTTGTGTAGCCCTGGTTGTTATAGAACTCACTCTATAGACCAGGCTGGCCTCAAACTTGGAGATCCGCCTGCCTCTGCCTCCTAAGTATTAGAATTAAAGGCATGCGCCACCACGTCTGGCCTTATTTGTATTTCATAGCCACTCCACAAAATAGATATTGTTTGCAGTTGAGAAAACTGAAGCTCAGAGAGAAAAGGTGTTTTACCTAAAGTCATGTGTGCAGGCTGATCCAGCATGCACAGAGTGCATTCTATTCTGGGTATCAGTACTCCATCCAGCCCAGGCTGTTCTGGTTTCTGCCTCAGGGTCTCTAGAAGTCTGGTGGTATGAAGTGTACAGTCATTCTAGCAGTAACTGTATGAAAGAAATTGTGCAACAAAAACAACAAAATGTTTTTAGACTTTTTATCCAGTGCTGGAGATTGAATCTAGGGCTTCCGGCATGTGTGGCAAGCACTTTACCATCGAGACACGCCAGCTCTTAAAGGGATGCTTTCAGAGAAGTACTAGACCCTGTAGCAGAAGCTACTCAGATTGATAGTTAGAGGCACCCGTTTTAATTCTCCCATCATGCACGTCTTTAAGGCTCTTATTGCCAGTTCTGGCCACTTTGGAAAAATCTGGAATGTGGAGAAAAGCCACAAAACTGGGAGTTTGAATTTTAGGACTTGGTCCGCTTCAGCTCATCTGGAGATGCAGCTCTCCTTGAGATAGGCCTCTTTCTGCTCTTATCATGAACTTGGTCTCTATCACTCACTTGCCTTATTTCCATCTTCAGCTCCAAGCATTTATTCTTTAAAGATAGTAATAAGTGCTGGCGATGTAGCTCAGTGGTAGAGTACTTGCCTGGCATTCGATCTCCAGCACCACAAAACAAAAGCAAAAGGAAGAAACTATATATATTTTGCTTTTGAGAGAATCCTGTTGTGATTCTGCGTTTCTCATGTGTTTCTCTCCATGAGAAATTATTTTTACAAACTTTCAGTAAATATGTGTTCTTGGGCTTCGCTAGTCTTTGAAGAATCAAGCCTTGGGGAGTGGAACTGGAGAGATGGTTGAGTGGTTAAGAGCACTGGCTGCTCTTCCAGAGGACCCAGGTTCAATTCCCAGCACCCACATGGCAGCTCACAACTGTCTGTAACTCCAGTTCCAAGGTATGTGGCACCCTCATAGAAATAGATATAGGCAAAACACCAATGTTCATAAAATAAAAATAAATACAATCTTTAAAAATACCTTGGGGAGTTCATAATTTAATATGGAAAAGAAGTGCCAGTAAGGGAAGAGGAAGACAGTCGAAGATTTGGGTGCAGGATCTGCAGGGTGTGGGGTGGTTGGGTTGAAGGGATCTGTCTGGAAGCAGAATAGGTGGCTCACTGTTTCTTATAAGTCAGATAAAAAATGTCCGCTACAGGTTACAAATGGGGAGTTGTTACTCTCTGGTGACCAAGTACACATGTTACCTCTTTATACCCGAGCACATGTTACCACACACGTTATTTCCCACCACTGATTCTACACCCACCTACCCATTGTCTTGCCTAGTTTGCAAGTTTTTCCATAGGTGGGAAGAGTCAGTGGTGGTGAAGCCGGCAGTGTTTCTTCTGTGTGGCCTTTTCAGAGTTGAGACTAAATAGGAAATCGCACTCTTCTTAAGAACACTCTCAATTAGTGACCAGATAGCTAGAGGATGTGCTTTTGGGGACACTGCTCTCTGAGTTTAATGAGGTGTTGGTTTAACTGATTGCTCTGTCCTTCTCCAGGGACATTAGCAAATCAGTGACACCTGTTGAGCAAAATGAGTGTTGGCTTTTACCTATTTGGCTTCTAAGACTATTACTAGTTGGTTTTGTTTTTTGTTTGTTCGTTTTATCTTTGTAAACATTTTCTCGTACATAAATGTTTGTTATACATTGGGCATAGCCCTGAGCTCTCCCTTTGTGTTGTTGTTTTTTAACCAGTGCTGGAAATTGAGCCTAGGGTCTTTTGAGATGGAGGTACTGGTTGAGATAGGGTCTCATGTAGCCCAGGCTGACTTTGAACTCCTGATCCTCCTACCTTAGCTTCCTGAGTGTTGGGATTTAGGCATGTGCCACCATGCCCAGTGTAATTACTAGCATTTTTTTTTTAAATGTTGGTGGGTGAGAATGTTATATACAAGTATGTGCATATGTGTGCACTCACTAATGTATGTACTTATGGAGACTAGAAGTCAGTGCTGAGCCAGGTGGTGATGGCGAATATCAGTGATGGCACTTTCAAGGCAGAAGACAGGTGGATCTCTGAGTTCGAAGCCAGCCTGGTCTACATAGTGAGTTCCAGGACAGCCAGGGCAACACAGAGAAATCTTGTCTCGAAAAATGAAAAAGTCAGCATTGGGTATCTTTCTCTATCACTCCCCATTGTATTTTTTGAGATGTAGTCTCTCACTGAACTTGGTGATTTGACTGACTGGCTAACAAGCTCCTGGACCCACCTGCCTCTGCTTACCTCTGCACTGGAGTTATAGACATGGTGCCATACCCAGCTTTTACTCAGATACCCAGACCCACACTCAGGCCTCATGCTTGCCCCCTGAGCCATCCAGCCACAACTGCTGGGTTTTTAAGTATCCATTCTATGCCCTCCTCTTTCTTCCGTTTTCCAAGTGGAACAACTTTTTATTGAAAATAGCCCTTGTCTGGTTAGGTTTATTTATTAATATCACATATAAGTTTGGGGGTCCCTACTGGTGCTAGGTACTTGAAATAACATCAGTGATAAACAGATCTCTGTCATGTAGAATGCTTTGGATGAAAGTAGGGAAAGCAGAGAGGCACTTCCCCTTCATTCAAGGCTGACAGCAGAGGACTTCTGCTTCCTTTAGATGTTTGCAGCCTGTGGACCCAAAGAGAGCCCAGTTCACCCTCAGGCATCAGCTTAACGTGTTAAGTCCATGGGGCTCTAGAACATAATCGCCTCAAATCTTTAAGGAGCTTAGCTGCTCACCAGTTGGGATTTCTGAATGCATTTATTTTATTTAGTTTTGAATAGGAAATGCAATGTCATCACTGTAAACTTTGTAAGTATGCACAGAAGCTTAATTTAAGATTTACTCCTTTATTTTATTTATAAAAAGGTTTTGAAGTGACTTAATTAAATACAAATATATATCAAAGATTTAAAACTGGATCAAGATCAAAATAATATTTTTAAAAGGAAAGATAATTGTATCAGGATATTGAGCCAGAGGTTTTCTTTTCTAAAAATAGGTTGTTTGTGTAAAAATAATATTGAGAAGAACGTGGCAGTCTCCCGAATTCCTTCTATCTAAAGATTAGTTCTTGAGTCATACTTAACATAAGTGGAAGTTTGCTGTATTGACTGTAAATTAGGTAACTAATGAAGCCAAATATCAATTCGGAGTTTTGGTCCTGGAGAGAGACACTTTGTTCTGAAGTTCCTTTAATATTATTTCATACATCCAGCAAACTTTGAACCATCATGTGTCAGATGCTGATGTGCTGAGCCACCTGAAGATTCAGAGTGTAAGCAATCACAAACTTTGTCCTAAAAACATTACTTGAGGGAGCAGGAAAGTGGTTTGGCCAGTAAAGTCTGGCTGCATAAGTAAGAAGACCCACATTAAAAGCTGGTCAGGACAGTGTACCCACCTGCCTGTAATCCCAGGCCTGGCAAGGTAAAAATGGGCAGGTCCCTGGGCCTTGCTGGGCTGCCCTAGTGAGCTCCAAGGCCAATGAATAATCTTGTTTCAAAAATAAGGTAGAGAGAATTGAAGACATTCAACATCAGCCCCTAGCTTCCACACATATGTGCCCATGTATACATAGCACATCACACACAATTACACACACACACACACAAGTTTGACTTCTGATAAGGACTTGAGTAATATAATGGCCATTGTCCTAAATAGCCAAAGACTTACTGACACTCTACCAGGACCATCACTTAGTCAGCCCTAGGAACAGCTTGGGTAGAATATTAACAGTAACAGTCACTGGTTTCCAAGCCCTTGATGAGCCTCCTGCCACAAGGCACTTGTT